TCCGCAGGATGAAACAAGCACCACCAGCCTCAGCAGGACGGCTGACGAGGCATCAGGCACAAGGGGACAGGCAGAGGTTCAGCGCAACGAGGCGAGTGCTGAACCTTCAATAGAATGGTTCCCAGCCCTGGCTGGTGTTGCTCAGTGGATAGAGTGTCGGCCTGCGGACCAAAGGGTCCCGGGTTTGATTCCAGTCAAGGGCATGGACCTCAGTTGCAGGTTCCTCCCCAGCCCAGGCCTGGTCGGGGCATGTGCAGGAGGCAACCAATCGATGTGTCTCTCTCACATTGACATTTCTGTCTTTCCCTTTCCCTTCCATTCTCTCTAAAATCAATGGAAAAATATCCTCTGGTGAGGATTAAAAAAAAAAAAAGAAAGAAAGAAAAAAAGAATGACTCTCAACAAAAATCTTTCCTCAAAGTTCAAATTTTAGCATCATTTACATTTTCAGACATTTTGTTGAAACATGCCGAAACCGGTTTGGCTCAGTGGATAGAGCGTCGGCCTGCTGACTGAAAGGTCCCAGGTTCGATTCCGGTCAAGGGCATGTACCTGGGTTGCGGGCACATCCCCAGTAGGGGGTGTACAGGAGGCAGCTGGTCGATGTTTCTCTCTCATTGATGTTTCTAACTATCTCTCTCCCTTTCTCTCTGTAAAAAATCAATAAAATATATTTAAAAAAAAAACATTTTGTTGAAACATACTGACCTGGACCAATTTAAACTACTGTAGTTTCATAATTACAGCTTTAATAAAAATTAATATTAAACTACTTAAATACATTATGTCAAAATCAAAGCTGCTATTAAACTGCAAAAGATTGGAAAGGATTTTTCTTGAAAGTTTATAATATTGCCATTATTCTAAATAAAACTGGGAACAGGAACTTTTGGGGAGGCAGTACGTTCTAAGATCAAGAGAGGGACTGGAGAGCTGACTCTGTCCGTGGTTTCCCATCAGTGGCTCCAGAAAAGTCACAGCCTCTCTGAGGAAGTCAGGTCACGTGACCCTGAAGATTCCTTCAGGTCTGGTGATTTGAGTGACTCAGGAGAAACAATCCTCTAGTTGATTTCACGTTACAAACTATCAACAAAGGTCCAAGTTTTAAAATCACAGTTGTTTTCTACTTACTGCTAGTGAATAACAATGAAAGAATCCCTACCTTTGACATCTCTGTGGATGATCTGGTTTTCATGGAGATAGGAGAGGCCACGGAGTAACTGCTCAGTGTAGTTAATGACCACTGATTCCTTGAAGGCTCCATATTTACTGAGCAGATGAGCCACAGATCCCCCTACAAGACCAACATACACCGGCAATAATTACTGTGAACAAGGCAGAATTAAAATGATGTGTTACCTTTTGGTTACATAAGGCTGCACTTTATGACCTCATGTTCACTTTTGAAATGTTCATTTATATTCTGCATCAGGAAGTACAACTGATTTAAAAACCAATACATTTAACTAATCTCAGAAACTATTAGGTATTTTCATGGAACCCTCATGAACTAGTTTTCTGAAAGGTCAAGATTTCAGAAAGCTTTCTTTTTCGTTGTCTTATTATTATTTAAAAAAACACACCATTGAATGTAGATAATACGCAGGAATAAAAGTGGTTTCACTCTGCCTCGGAGAGCTTTCAAAGTTAACACTTTTGGGTGAAACTATTTCTGAAATGTACAATTCACTTCTCTGTCTTTTTGACCAAGATATACAAAATGCCTGTTTTTAAAAAATATGTTTTTATTGATTTCAGAGAGGAAGGGAGAGAGAGAGAGAGAGAGAGAGAAACATCAATGATGAGAGAATCATTGACTGGCTGCCTCCTACACGCCCCCTACTGGGGATTGAGCCTGCAACCTGGGCATGTGCCCTTGACCGGACTTGAACCCAGGACCCTTCAGTCCACAGGCCAACGCTCTATCCACTGAGCCAAACTAGCTAGGGCCAAAATGTCTTTCTTAATGACCCGAGTAAACACTGCTAACATGTTACTTAGCAGAAGGGACAGAGAACAGTACGAAGCAGAAGGCCCAGAGTGGGGCTTGATATCCTCCTATTTATTAGCTCTGATCTGGGGCAAGCCACAAACTCAGGGAGCCTCATTTAAAAGTATTTATAATCATCAACCCAAATGTAACAATCAACCCAACTACAACCAGTATCAGAGACTATACTGAAGAACTGATGTGCAGAGGCGGAGATCAAGGCGCAGATCCTGGCCTCCCCTACTCCCCAGAGCCCCCTGGAACTACGCCCATCTACAGAGCAACCACTGCCGAGAATGCCCTGAGGACTGGCCGAGTAGAATTCCTACACCCAAGGATATAACGAAGACACAGTGAAACAAGTAGTAGGGGCAGAGCTGTGGTCTGATCAGGACCCACACCCAGATTTATGCCACAAGGGAACTGCACCAGGAGGATGGGTTCTCCCTCACATTATGGGGAACAGAGCCAGTCAGCCTGAGGGTAGACCTTACCCACTGGCCTGCCCACAGCACTCACGGCCCAACTACACAGGAGGGTGCACTCAACCCACATGGAACAGTCTGAAGCACCTGACTCGTGACCAAGGAAGATGATGACACTGGGCCCTACAAAACATCTTCTACGTAAGACCACGCTTATGAGACTGGGAAGTGCAGCTAGTCTACCTAACACTCATCAATGGACAGATCATCCTGATAGAAAATCAACAGGAAACAGTGGCCTTACATGATACATTAGACTTCATGGACTTAATTGATATTTTAAAAGCATTTCACCCAAAAGCAGCAGAATACGCCTTCTTCTCAAGTGCACAGGACAGACCAGGTATCAGGCCACAAAAGTCTGAATACATTGAGAAGATTGGAATCATATCAAGCGTCCTCTCCAACCAGAGCGGTATGAAACTAGAAATCAACTACAGGAAGAGAACTGGGACAAACACATGTGGAGACTAAACAACATGCTACTAAACAATCAAAGAGAAATAAAAACAGGATCATGAGACAAAATAATCAAAATAGTATGTTGTTGGCATAAAAACAGATATATATATCAATGGAACAAACTAGGAAGATCAGAAGTTAACCCACACTTATATGGTCAATTAATCTATGACAAAGGAGGCAGGAATATACAATAGGTAAAAAAGCAGTCCCTTCAATGAATGGTGTTAGGGAAACTGGACCACTCTCTTTGGCCATATACAAACAAATACATAAACTCAAAACAGCTTAAAGATCGAAATGTAAGACCTGAGACCATAAAACTTCTGGAAGAAAACGTAGGCATAAACTCTTTGACATCAGTCTTAGCAATATTTTTTTAGATGTTTCCCTCAGGAAAGGGCAAAAGAAAAAAAAAAAGCAAAATGGGACTACATCAAAGAAAGTTTTTCCACAGTAAAGGAAACTAACAAAATGAAAAGGCGACCCACTGAATGGGAGAAGATATTCACAAATGATACTTTTTATAAAGGGTTAAGATCCAAAATATATAAAGAACTCATATAACTCAACACCAAAAAACTAAACAACAAATAAAAAGAAAACCAACAATCCTATTAAAACATGGGCCGAGGACTTGAATGGACATTTCTTCAAAGAGGACATACAGATGGTGAACAGACATAAGACAAGATGCCCAACAATCACTAATCATCAGGGAAATGAAAATCAAAACCACAGTGAGAGGCACCTGTACACCTGTCAGAAGGGTTACCAAGAAGACAACAAACAGTAAGTGCTGGTGAAGATGTGAGAAAAGGCAGCCCTGTGCACTGCTGGTGGGAATGCAGACTGCTGCAGCCACTGTGGAAAAGTGTACGTTCCTCAAAAATAAATAAATGAATAAATAAAATTACATATTGTCCAGCAATTCTCCTTTTATCTGAAGAAGAAAGTAGTAATTTGAAAAGATGTATGTACCCCTGTGTTCATTGTAGCACTATTAACAATACCTAAGATATGGAAGCAACCTAGGTGTCCAACGATAGACGAATGGCTAGAGATGATGTATAGACCGATAATGAAATACTAGTCATAAAAAATGAAATTTTGCCATTTGTGACAACATGGCTGCACCTAGAGTATTATGCTAAGTGAAATGCGTCGGAGAAAGACAAACACCATCTGATTTCACTTACATGTGGAATCTAAAGAACAAAGTAAATGAGCAAACAAAACAGAAATAGACTCACAGACTGAATAAGCTGACGGTTGTCAGAGAAGAGGGCGATGGGAGGATGTTTAAAAAGGTGAAGGGAAGTAAGAGGTAAAAACTTAGTTATAAAATTTATAAGTCACAGGGATGTAGTGTATAGGATAGGAACAGTTGTCAATATCTTAATTTTGTATGGTGACAGATGGTTACTAACTTAGTGTGATGATCACACTGGGAAAAGTATATAAACGCTGAATCACTATGCTGTACACCTGTATATATACTGTATGTCAGGTGTACTTCAATTAAAAAGAAGAGCTGATTTGTAAATAGATATATACTCTCCAAACACAAAAGGTCTAAGAAGTTAAACCAAGCACTTATCTAGTTACTCCATCCTAAGTCTGTTTTCCTGTGTATACTGCGTAATACAAGGAAAACAGTCTTCATCCCTGGCCGGTTTGGCTCAGTGGATAGAGCATCGGCCTGTGAACTGAAGGGCACATGCCCGGGTTGCAGTAAGGGGCGTGCAGGAAGCAGCTGATCAATGGTTTGCTCTCATCATTGATGTTTTTCTCTCTCTCTCTCAAATCAATAAAAATATATTTTAAAAAACCAAAAAAAAAACATAGTCTTCACTTGCTGAAGTAGATGACAAGGTTCACCTTTATGCTTCAGTTCTAGTTTACCTATAATAAAATTTTCAAGTTACACGTTAATCAATTTTAGTTTCATGCTGTCATGTTAAATCATCTCTTAAACCTGTCCAATTAATGAAGGCTACCTGGGAAAATACGGATCCCGTATCTACCAGGTTTCAAAAATTATCCCTATGAAACAGTGTACACAATCATTTTAAGAGAAACACTGAAAAAGTTTAAAAGGTAGGGGTAATGAATGTTTTATTTAAGTGAAAGACAACACAAATATTTACAGCCTGTCCTACTACGTTAGAGGTGATTTGTGCAAACTATTTAATAAAAACGTGTTCGTTAAGACGTTTTTCCTAAGTATCAAGCAGAAAGTTGAATCCGTGCACGATGTTCGGATTTAGACCATGAACACACCTGCCATCCACTCGATGAAGAGGTTGTAATTGCTCTTCTCGCAGGTGGCTCCCAGCATCCGGATGATGTTCGGGTGGTTCAGGTGACTCATCATCCTGATCTCCTCCCTCAGCGCCTCCACGACCTCCTCCTGCTCCGACGACGTGTTTCTGACATACGTCACCTGTGGCGGTAACACGTTCACAGTTCTCACTCACCATCTGATCTCAGTGGACAGATGCACGTTAGCTTCTATATTAATAGCAAACGGCATTTATGCTCCTGGGTGCAGTGCAGATACTTTACAAAAAACTCTTTAAAGTAAGAACCTAACTTTAGAAGCAATGAAATATAAGCAATGAAATATATAAAAAGGAATATAACCCATCTTCCCAGACTGTCTGAAGACAGAGTGAAAAGTGAGAAAAGCCCAATGATTTTAAGATGGAAGGTTTAGGATTTTCTCATCTCGATCAGCATGCTCACTACAGAAAGTGAACCCCGGAAGCCAGGACGGCCTGCACCTGGCCTCGCGGGGGAGGAGGAAGCTGCTCTGGGTGTGACAAGCACAGCGGCCCGGCCGGCAGAGGCCCTGGACTGCGCCCCTCACAGTCCCGCTCCAGCAGTAACAGAGCTCACGGGGCTGTGCCAATGTCTACTCTGACCTTCAGGTCTCTGAAAACTTAGAGAACTAAGCACATGCACACAGGACACACGATTCTTGTTCGCTCATGCTCCGTCGTGCCAGCCTTCATCATGTCCACCCTCACAAGCTGCTCACCTGCTTCACAGCCATCAAGGTCCCGGTCCCCACGTCCTGGGCCTGGTAGCAGGAGGAGAAGGCCCCGAGGCCGATCTGCTGGCCCTTCAGCCAGTCCGCGTCCTCCCGGTACGGCAGCTTCGCTCTGGTGTGTCCTGGGAGGGTCTCGGGCGTCTGTGCAGCAAAGGAAAGCAGCTCTTTACTGTTAACAGGAAGCTGTGCCGTGAGCCTGGCAAACACTACTCCTGTTCGGTCTGGCTTCCCGAGCCCCCTCTGAACTGCTCCTGAATGGACAGTGCTGGGCGCCAAGGACAGTATCCACCAGAAACGCCTCTGAAACAGGCAGGACTTACCTGTTCCAACAGCGACACAAACACTAATTCTACAGGAAAGACCCGCTTCTAGCGATGAACTCGCGCCTGAACCGGGTTAACCTCACATGGTCGGAGGACGCGCCCGGCCCCCCAGGAGCGCACTTACGTCCTGCTGGATGATGATGACGTCCTCTCCGTTCTCCACCTGCAGCTGAGGCACCACGGGGAGGGCGTCCTGAGAGGCGGACATCGCCATGGCGATCGCCAGAGCCTCCTCCTCCTCGGCCTCCATCTTCTCCTTGCACTTCTGATTGTGACTCACGTCGTCTTGGTAGGTGTCGTCGTGCTCGTCCTTCTCCGGAGAGAGGACGGCCACCTCTGACCTGAACGTCACCGTGGTGTCAGCGGCGGGCAGGGACGCCTCGAGCAGGTCCTCGATGCTGGAGCTGAGCTCGGTGCTGGCGTCCAGCCGGCCCTTGTCCTCCACGGGGGTGAACACCGTCTCCTCGCTGGGGATCACGGCGCTGCTGCTGCTGCCGCTGCTGAAGCTGTCGCCGCCCTCGGAGGCCCCGCGCAGGTCCAGGGTCATGCTGCCTGTCGCGGCGTCGGCCTGTCTCCCGGGGCTGCCGGGGGAGGGCCGAGAGGGCTTGGGCCTGTGTATACTACTGCAGGGCAGGGGCCGGGACTGCGTGAAGATGGGGGAGAGCTTGTCCGAGTCTCTGTTTTCGGGACAGTTTCTCTGGAACTGCAGGGAAAACTTGCGCTGCGGAGGAGGCGACGCCGAGGGTATGTTGTAGGGAACGAATCCCTGAGGTCTGTGCTTGGAGGCGTCCCCGGGGCCCGCTGGTGCGGTCTGGGCCGACGAAGCTGGGGTGGACGAGGGCGGGAGCACTGGTTGGGAGTGAGGGGACAGGGGAGAGGAGCTCAGACACTGGCTGAGGGGCCTGCCCTTGGCTTGCACCGCTGGCTTTGGCTGCTCCGTCGTTGCTGAAGTAGGAGGCCCCAGGGCAGTGCTGGCCGGCCGACCAGAGATGTCCTCCGAGCTGGCGCTCAGCCTCGCAGGGCGCAGTCCTCTTCCAGTTTTCTCCGCACGGTCTGGGCCCTGCAGGGGGCTGTTCCCTGGGGCCTCTGGGTGGCTCTCAGGGGCCGGTGCCTGCAGGAAGCTATCACGCCGGCCGTCCCAGGCATCCTCGAGGCCCAGCTGGACGGCCTCGGCGATGTCCACCTCCTCCGCGATCGCCATCAGGCGGCGGCGCATCCGGGCAAAGTGGGTGGAGCTGGAAGCACTCAGCATCTCTAACAGCTTCACGAACACGGGGGGCACGGCGGTGACCATCCTCGCGGAACTCAGGTAGACCCTGCGCGCGAGCTTCCCGACCACCGCGTGGGCGTGGTCGATGGACTGCAGGGCGAAGGCGAGCAGGGACAGCAGCTTCTTGTACCTGCAGAAAACACGTCAGCCAGTTAATCACTGCAGAACACACGCAAACGAAGAGATGGGAATAATTGTGCGTGTGCGTTCCAAAAAGATCATCGAGGTCTAGACGTTTTTAAGTCACTAGCCTAGACGTTGGTCGTTGTTAGTCAAACATTAGTAACCTACATGTTCCTCTCATTTCTGGGCCCCGTGAATCTAGACCGTGTCCTTGGGGCGGGTGTGGGCCGTGGCGGGGTGCAGGACGGCTCGGTGTGCGGGTAGAACTCGGCGGGGAACTCCAGCAGCAGCCGGTCCACCAGGCAGAGGCGGCCCAGCAGCTCCTGCCAGTTGTTCAACTCCATCTGGTTCCCAAGAATACAATTGAGGACGTAATCCACACCACCGATACCAATGGATCCTGCAAAGGGAAGGTAAGAATAGGTAACTGGAACAGGGACATTAAAAGAGAAGACAAAAGTGACCGAACGGCACAAGTGCCCTGGGCTGTGTTCGTTTAAGAAGAACTCTCTTGGATTCGGGTCCTGTTTCTAATGGGAGCTGATGGGGTCAAGCTCCACCACCACTTGGAAATCCCGTGACTGCCCACAGGAGAGGTTAGCTCGCTAAGGACCACGCCAGCCGTGCCCAGTTGAAGTGAAGAGTCATTACCGGCTTTCAGTATTTCTCTGCCGACCGCCAGCTCCCCGGCCTGGCCTCTGCACAGCTCCAGCAGCGTGGACACGGACAGCTGGCTGGTGCGGCTGCAACGACAGGCGGCAGACAGGCTTGGGTGAGACCCGCGGAGGGAGCAGGAGGGCCAGGCCTTGGGAGAAGGGAGGCTCCCAGGACCGTGCCCTCCACCTCAGGGCCTGCATTCCCGTCGCCGTAGGTCACCCGCGCACGCCGTTCACCCTACTCCGTGTCACACCCAGGACCTGCCGGGCTGACCGCGGAGCCGCCGGAGCAGCCAGCAGATACGGCAAAGGGCGTGTTCTCACGCTCACGTCTTGTTAAAACAAAACTGAAGCTCCTCCCAGTGTTTCTTATGAGGTTCATTCAAGCGGCCAGGCAGGCACCGGACTGTGAGAAGGCAGAGAGCGGGCAGCAGCACACATGCCACAGGAGCCACGAGTCTCAGAAAAACACCTGTCCCCCTGCTAATGATGACATGGTCTCCTACGCGCTTGACAAGCTGCCGCTCGCCCCCGGCTCTGAAACGTGTGTTCTCGCTGAGCGACGAGAACACCTTGCACACGTGCCGTCTGGCCGTGAGCAGCAGCCGTGAGCAGGGCGGCGGGCGGAAGGCCGGAGCCAGCACCTGGTTCCGAGACCTCTACGGATGGGGGACTCGGAGACGGGCCGCTCAACACCTGCTCCCTGGCCGTGCTGCTCAGCGAGGTCTCCCCAGCACCGCCGCGCTCACCTGGGCCGTCCCCACCTCCCTCCTCGTGGGTCTCTGCCCCGTTAGGGCTGTTCTCGTCCCTTGTCGATGTTCCAGGATAATGCAGGGACAGACGGGACTGGGGGTGGGGTCGTTCGACACAATTAGAGTGAAAGTTCATTACACAGAAGGGGCTTTGTGGGGTCCGGAAAACGAGGTGAAGCAGGTGCAGTGATTTCACTGGCCCCTGTGCTGTGGATCCGCCCTCAGATGCCGTCACACCTGTGCTATGTGCACAGCTGGCGCCCTTACCAGCGGGACTTCAGACGGGGATCTCTCTACAGGGGACCCCACAGCCTCACCGAGTCACATGCATCCGACCCTCCCGGGCGAGCCTGGCCCATCCGGTGGCCTTACCTGTTGGCGTCTGCGCACTTGACCAGGATGGTGTCCACGACCGGCCGCAGGAGCCTCTGCAGCTTGATCCGCTCAGCCAGGCTGTGGCAGGGCGTGTACACGAGCATGGCCCGCAGGGTTTTCTGAGGACGGAACGGAGGGTCAGTGAACTACGTTTAAGAAACATCAGCGACACCGCGCTCCTCTGAGGCAACGTGAGCAGCACAACCAGCGGTGAAGGAATAGACGACAACCACACAAAATAACGACTGGAAGGCCAATGGATGGCTAGGAGGGAACTCTGAGCTATTTCTGCATCTTTTTAAAGTCTGATTAGTTTCAAAGTGAAGTCAATAAAAGATTAAAAAAAAAGGATAGGAGCTGCCCTGATGGAGCTCCCACAGCCAAAGCGGGAGGAACCGTCCTGCCGGCGGCTCAGGACGCTAGGGGCACGGCACAGGCGTGCGCTGTGACCGCTGTCAGCCACGTGGCTTGCTCAGGGCTGCTCACGCCTGTGGTTTCATGGGTGAGTGTCACATCTGAGAAGACAGTCCCAGCTACAGAGGGAAGTGCCACGATGTTACCTGTGCGAGGGGGGAGGCGGAAGGTTCCTGGCCAGGAGTCCCCTTGCTCACTGAACAGACACATGACCCCCGAGAGCAGTGGTTCTCCACCTTGGCTGCACATGAGAATCACCTGGGAATCTTTTTAAAATCCTGATTTCTGGGCCTCATCCTCCGGAAATTCTGTTTCTTTGTTACTAATGTTGTGGCCTCGCCCCATAACAAAGAAACAGGATTTCCGGAGGATGAGGCCCAGAAATCAGGATTTTAAAAAGATTCCCAGGTGATTCTCATGTGCAGCCAAGGCTGAGAACCACTGCTCTACAGGATCAGCACAGGGCACAGTCCACGGCCCTGCACCCTCACAGCGCACAGCCACTCGGGACACACCTGCCCGAAAGAGCCAGCCAGCAGGTGTGGACTAAGTGGTCAGGTGTGCCTGCGGGTTCGTCCTGGAAACAGTGGGAAGAGGTCAGAAGTTGGGTCTGTACTCTACGTGTCCAGAGGCCACGAGAAACACCTGGGAGATCCACTGGGAAGCGATGTTCCTCCCGTGTACAGACTCCCGATGGCTACAGCACCGGAGCTCCCGGCCTGTCCCTGCAGACCCAGCCAGCCTCATGTGACTGTGTTCTTCGGTTTTAAGGGAACTTTTCACAGCCCCGCCCACCTGCCACGGACACACGTCAGGACATGCTGCCAAGGCAACAGATCCCTGACCCTCTCGGAGCCGGGACAGAGAAGTGATGCTTCCAGGCCCAGCAGGGGCTCATCTGCGCTTGGCGCTCCTACACTGTGCTCCACACTACGGTGAGGTGCTTCTGCTCCCAATCCGAGCGGTGACATCACTCACAGCTGGGAGAGCTGGTCTGGGAGCCCTGCAGTCACACACCAGCAGGTGGCAGCCCCAGGACGGGAGCTGCCGTCTCTACCACCTGGACCACCGTCCAGACTGCCCAGGCCAGCCCAGTAACGAGCTGCTCATTCAAGTGTCCTGTGTGGACACTATCGCATGAGGTCACTCAATTCTGGCCCCAAATGCAGGTTCAGAACCTGCGGGCACCACTCAACCAGAAGATGCCTTAGGCCAGTGGTTCTCAACCTTCCTAACACTGCGACCCTTTAATACAGTTCCTCATGTTGTGGTGACCCCTAATGTCATTGTTACAAATTGAACATCATTAAAGCATAGTGATTAATCACAAAAACAATATGTAATGATATATGTGTTTTCCGATGGTCTTAAGCGACCCCTGTGAAAGGGTCGTTCGACCCCCAAAGGGGTCGTGACCCACAGGTTGAGAACCATTGCCTTAGGCACAGCAGTTTAGGTCGGTCAGGGAGAGACTGCAAGTGGGAGCAGGAAAAATAATGAGTTTTCAAACCAAACCGGGTAGGACTTCTTACCGCAAGTTCTGCACTGGGGGCATCGTGACCTTGGGACTTCAGCAGACCCGATTGGGAGGAGAGGGTGCTCCCAGGACCATGGGCGGAGGCCAGGGGTGCGGCTGAGCATCCTACCCGCCCAGGACAGCCCTGCCTCCCGGAAGAGCTGTGTGGCTCCATAGTGCAGAGGCCGAGAACCTGCGCCCACCTGCTCTCCACTCCACTCGGAAGGGGTTAGGTCAGACCAGCCTCCACAGATCCACGCAGCCTCGCACGTCATCCACGCACGGAGACAACTTCCCATGGCATGAGCCAGGAAAACAACGCGGCTGTGGTCTAGGTCACGGGACCTCATCTGTGAGAACACTCCTGAGTCCACAGTGCTCACTAAGTCCGTCCCCTCAGTGGCTACTCAGACACATTTACCCGTCACCGGTCACTCTGCTAGCACCCCACAAGTCCTGTGAGCTGGGTCGTGGGAAGTAAAGAAAATGTAGAGATGTGGACAGCGAGACGGGCTGCTCTGGAGGGGAGAGTGAGCAGTCTGCGAGGAAGCCCCGCCCGGCTCAACAGTGGAACCTGACGGAGGGTGAAATGGAAAATGGCAATTTCCCGGATTACGGAATGAAAACAAAATGTGGATTTTCCCGAGTTAAATGAGGTGATGTGTTACTGGGTCTTAAAAACGCTACTAGAAACAATCGAACACCAGCCACCCGCCCACGACACGTGGTTAGGGAGGGAAGCTACTTACTAAAGCGGCAACGTACACTTTGTAGACAGGGTCGGCGCAGACCATGGACAGCACGCTGCAGCAGGCACCCACCACG